GACCTGACAGCCGGAGGGATTAACGGGGGGCCGCCGCCAGCCACTAGTATCCTGCTCTGCCTGCTGAGCACCTCCACGCAGCAACAAATGCAGAAGGAAGGGATGGAAAAGGCAGAGCAAGGAAGCTATACAGGCCCCCGTTGCTCAGAAGTGGGGTACGGAGCGATCCCTGGTGAGCCAGCGTCAATGTCAGCAGCCCCTGTGGCTCACTTCTGGAAAAAGCTGAGGATTCAAGTTATCCAGCAGCAGCTTCAGTTTCCCTGCCAGCTGCCCCACAAGACACACCACTGCAGCTTTCGGTACCGCAAAACGGGGTGTTTTGCTGAGCACCCCGATAGACGGCTCCTCTCCAAACACCACAACAGGGTTCTGGGAGGACCACTATGTGTCACTGGCCAGCAAATCCCCGCTCAGACTCAAACTCCCCTCAGAGCTGGCAGGACTGAACAGCTGGGTTGGGAAGCAGACAAGGAAAAGGAGCTCTGTCTCAGTGGACAAGCACCCCTCTCCATCTCCAGTACACCCTGGAAGGACCCTGTGGCCATACCTGGTGTCCGGCACATGTTTCAGGCTGTACACCGGGCGGTTTGAAAATCCACCACATTCCACCTTGAAATCTCTCTCTGGACACAGACCCTAGAAATCAGAGGCAAAGTCATCTCTTCACACTTAGTGGTGCAGACCTTGGTGTTACCACGAAAAAAAGACAGAGACATGAGACACACTCTCACTTGGTAAAGCTCTTGCCTGTCTGGTAATGCCTATTTCAACAGGAGCTACAGGATTGAAGGATCCCAAAATAGTTAGGGGAAAAAAACATATGGAGGAAGCTCCTGCCAAGAGCTCTGTCTGGGTTCGTTGCCATCGGTGCATGTCTGGCTCAGGAGCTTTCTGCTTACCCAGTGACCAAACACCTTCTACTTTAGCGTAGAGGTCACCCACCCAAGGGCCAACACTGCTGTCCAGCAGTGTGGTGCCCCAGGCTCGGCCATCTCAGCCAGTCCCTTCTTCTTTTGCCTTGGTGTCCTCATCTGTCCTATTTCCCCATGAAACGCTTTCATTCACACTCCTGGAGATGAAGTTTTCATGGCACAAGCTGCCCAGGGAGCAGCAGGATTACATGACTGGACTGCCAACCTGCACTATCTCAACTAGTGGGTGAATTACCTGCCTTACCTTTTGACCAAAGCTGCTCAAAACCTGGCCAAATCCTTCTCAGAGCTACTGAGACCAGGTAACACCTTGTGAAGCCCAGCACAGCACAGCCCTAGCCTGTTCTCTGAAGACACCAGACCGAGGAGGACAGAGCGACCTGGTGCCACCCTGGCTGCAACACCCACCTGGGTCTCCTTCGCCTGCAGCGTCGGTGGTGGGAGCAGCTGCAGGATCTCGTTCCCACCAGACCATCCGTACCCAGCTACACAGACACCTTGGAGGCGGGGATGAAGAACCAGGGACACGGTGAGGGATGCCCCAGCCCTCCTGGCCCACCCTCCCTGAGCCAGACTCCCGATACTGAACCCTGAACCCCGCTACAGGCCCAGCCACTTGGCCCCATTCCTGGGGTCCTGGCCCTGCCCCTCGACATCCCCTCCACATTTTATCAAATCTGTCATTTCTAGACTCCTGTGACATTTAGAGGCCACACATGATGTATCAGACGACATCTCATACGAAGATGTCAGACTTGGCATACCTTTCCTAGACTACCTCTTCTGCTCTCCTCTTACTTATTTTGTAAGTTATGCTAATACTCTCTTAAAATTTTGATTAAGCTTGTTATCTATCCACGTGACTAATCTTCTCTGCATTATGTTGAGTGCTTGATTTCATCAGCATCTTGTGACAATGACTGCCATAATTTAATTAACTATTGACAGAAAAAAGTAACTTTCTCCATCTGTCTCTTTAGGTTCACTTGTTCTATGAGATGTGGTGGACCTCCTCAGTGTTACATAAAAAGAAACACAGCTTTTTTTCATTTCTTCCTTGCCAAAATCTCTTGTGTTGCAGTTTAGTCTCATCATTTTTTGTTCTGCCCAGAATAAACCTAAAAAGCAAGGTCTCAGTTGTGGTTGCCTTGAACTGGGGTTGTTTAGCCTGAAGGAGGCTGAGGGGAGACCTTATGGGTCTCTACAAGTACCTGGAAGGAGGTGGTAGTGAGGTGGGTCTCACTCTCTTTTCCCAAGTAACAAGCGATGGACATGGCCTCAAGTTGTGCCAAGGGAGGTTTAGACTGGACATCAGGAAAAACTTCTTCACTGAAAGAGTGGTCAGGCCTTGGAACAGGCTGCCCAGGGAAGTGGTGGAGTCACCATCCCTGGGGGTATTTAAAAGACGTGTAGATGAGGCGCTTAGGGACATGGTTTCGTGGCCATGGTGGTGTTGGGTTGATTGACGGTTGGACTCGTTGATCTTAGAGGTCTTTTCCAACCTCAGTGATTCTATGATTCGATTTGGGGGTTATTATCCAATACCCCCTCAGTCACCTTTTCAAACTATAGAACCCACGTCTTCCAGTTTTTCCCTGAAGACCATGAGTTTCTGACCCCAGGGCGCTGCTTCCTGGCCAAAATCCCTCTGTTGCAGTTTAGTCTCATTATTTTTTGTTCTGCCCGCAACAGAGGCCCTGGCCCGGCCCGACCCCGTGGCTCCCCTTCCCCCCCGTTCCGTAGCCCCGGCCCGGCCCCGTGGCCATTTTCCCTCCCTCCGTGGCCCCAGCCCG